TTCAGCAGCTCAGTTTCCATCCAAGTACGTTTTTGAAAAGTATTTTAAGAAAGCTGCATGGATATAAACTCTTCACTGTTGGTTTGAGGCATTTTGTTCATGATAAAATTATGTAAAATAAGAAAGAATATCATTTCTCACATAAATGACATGGTGTTTTTATTTACTTTCTTTGGGAGTTGTGCTTCCCTGCTCAGCATGCAAATGTTTGTCTGGACCCTGCCCATGAGAACATTCTGCATTTTACTAAGCTAGGACCTCGCCCTCAGTCAGTGTTTGGTGTTTGCTGTAGACTTAATTATGTAGTGTGGGTTAAGGGAAGGCTTTGGAGATCTGCACTGCTTTTGGGCGCTGGCAGACCCCCTGCATAAAAGGAGACAGAGGGAAGAGAATGATGGAAAAAAAGGGGAGGGAAGGCGGGTTACGAAGAGCGGAAGCAGAAGAATGTCTTCTTGGGTGGTTTAAATCTTATTGGAAGAGGAAGGGGTGTGAGCTTTGGGCATGGTCCTGCTCCTGAACTTTAGATTTAGAATCTGTTGGTATGTGTTTCAGCTGAAATTCACTTATCGGCAACTTTACTCTCTACTCTAAGGCAAAGTTGCATCAAAGAACAGCAAAGCTATGTTTTCAGATTTAGTGCGGAATTGTAAAACAGATATGAATGTTTAAAGATCATCTCTTTGCACCAATAGTGGAGGTCTGTCAATATGTTTGGTTATATGAAATACCAGAAATTATGTTTTCAACAAATGACAACATCCAAACATCCCCTGTGGTAATTGATCATTTGGACAGGTAGGTTATTGTCTATGTCACACACTGTCTATAATTACTGATTTGTCAATCATGTCCAAAAAGGTAAAGCTAAAACCACCAATGAATGTCAAAAATCTCTTTTACACCAAATAGACCCATGTAAAGGATAACAGGATACTGTTAATATTAAATCTGTTTCAGTTAGGGTAGAGCAATGAGAAGTGCCAAGAAAATAGTTTAAGAATAAATACAGCAATCTTCAACATTCAGCTTTTTCATGTTTAATCAGAAAGACATGCCTTTTGCTAAATAATGGATTCTCCATGGGCTCTTACATAATGTTTTTAAAGGTTGTACTTTGGTGCATGTTAATCAGCGGAGCAGCATTGAAAGCGGAGCTGAGAAGCCCCTGAGAGCTTCAATCAGCAGCAGAAAACAAGCAGCCCAAATATATTCAGTGACAGAGAAAACGGAGAGTGGAGCGGGGGGAAGTGAGTGAGAGGGGGGGGGGTGTGTGTGTGTGTGAGGAAAAAAAATCACTGATCTTTCCCTCCATTTAGAAAGCCACTGCCTCTGGCTAAGGCATCCTCTGGCCAGAGTGAGTGTGCGTCTACTTCTGTGTGAGTCGGTGTGTGTGTCAATGACTGTCTTTGTATGGGCATAATGTTCTGTAACACACATGCCAAGGGGCAGCAGGGAATTAATGGGGCGAATCCGGGTTCATTGTAAAGATGACGGGACAGTGAACAACACACTACACACTCCACTGAAAACCAGAGCCATAATGTGACATTTGTAATCTGTGGTCTCTTTTTCTAGGATTCTCTCCAGCCGCCATTCTCTAAATACGTCTTTGGTCTGCTTGGTCTCTTTTCTCTCAGTTTAATCCATCCATCCATCCATCCATCCATCCATCCTCTTCTCAATATCAGCTTTAAGTACACTGATAAAATAAATCACCTTCTGACAGCAGCATTCAGGCATCAACAGCATGTTGGCTCAGCTGTAGAGAGCCACTTTCTACCTTGCTGAAAGTGGTCTGCTAACGCTCAAGAGGCTGTGGCTTGGAACAAGTGTTGCTTCAACAGGCTGTGACATTTTACTACTTCAGCATCAACCTGAAGCCTTTCTTCACCTGACTGGACAGACAACTCTGTGGGCTGTTGTAAGCCTCTGCTATAAGAGAGATCGATGACAGCCACGTGAAATGATTTGGTAACAAGGCATGTTTGAAAATAGCAGATGTCTTTTAGACCAAAATTTGTTTCTGGATAAAAGAGGACACTTTGCTGGTGCAGAATTTAAGATACAGATGCTTATTTACAAAACCCTCCATAACTCTAAGGACATGGTTGTCTCCAGTGTCTCCAAACTGGGTGTCACCAGTGTCATGTGTTGGTGGGCTGATTTGATACTCATTAACTCACACAAAATATGATTTTAAAAGTTTGTTATTGTTGATGTAATGGGGCAAAGTACCTGCAGCATTTGGCTGACTGTGGGCAGGTCTTAGTAACTTAGCCATCATCTTACTACTTTTAACATGCCCCTTATTTGTAGAAATATCTTCCAACTCACCTGTTAAGAGACACTTTTAGGCTTTGGATGTTTTCTGAATAAGGTCTCTGGTATTGTAAGGCTAAGGCTATAGTAACTTCCATTTGAAGGCAAAGAAGAATTGGCAGTTAAACTGGAGCAGAACTTAATAGGTAAGCGTTCAAAATGAACAAATACAACTTCAGAGTTGTCATGGTTGTATTTTAAGGACCCAGATGCACACAGGTATAATCACTAACAGTCCAGGTAATATGACTGACTTGGGTATGTATGACAATGCAGATACTACAGTATATCAGTAATATGGAATGCAGATAAGCATTCTCACATGATGCACATCTTCAGTGCTATTTTCCCCCCTCTGGTTAGTGAAGCAGAGTCTCCACAGATGGCTCTTAAAATCACACAAATCCCCAGTTATTTTGTGCTGCAAACTTTTTACTGATACCTGTTGTGATTGATCAGGGCCCTGATACAACTCTGAGCTTTTTGGTTTCACTTTCACGCGCCCTCTGGAGCGAGTCAGGGAAAATCAATACAACTAATAAGCCATAGATAAAAACACAGCCGATTTCTTCCTGTTCAGCCTACATAAAAACTATTTTCGTCCGGAACATTTCAGTTGTCTGTCAGCCTGGTGAAGACTCTTTGTCTGGCTGCTGTTCCGCTGACAGACAGTTCTGATGGCAAAGACAGTGAACACGCCGCTCACGTCGAGCTTTCAGTGTGGATTCCCAAGAAGAGTGGCAACTTGGCATACAAACAAGCTAGAGTGGAGAATAGGCTTAGCCATGTCACAGGGGGGTAAACAGTTCATCTGACCAGAACCCAAGTGACAACAAAACATCCAAACAGAGGTGAATCCAGTGGTTTAAACTGGACAAAGGCAGGGTCAGAATCCAAGGGAGAAAGCACATGAAAAACAGAAACAGACAGAGGGAATGACCACTGGAGAGCTGTAGTCTTCATCAACATTCTGTTGGTGAATAAATGCTGGGCACTGGCTTAAATACAGAGTGGACGATTAAACAATTGGAAAGCAGGCAAGTGTGGGCGGAGCAGGGTGGAGAAAGTACAAGAGCAGGAGAAGTGGCCAAAGACAAGGGCAGGCCCTAAAACAACAGGGGGAATGGGGCGGAGACAAAAGTATCATTGAGTGCAACTAATTGTAATAATATCACTGATTGTTTTATTTATTGATCAATATTTCAGTTACTTTTTGTTTAATCAATTGATTACTAAGTTTATAAAAGTGCCCCATAGTCAAGAAAAAAAAATCATTCCTTCTCAAATCCCAGAACATCTTAGAATTACTCTTTTTGTCCAAACAACAATTCTAAACCCAAGTCCAAAAATAGATGACTTAACATTCGATTAATTTCCATACCATCATAGCTGTTGACAGATCTTCAGTTAATTAAATGAAGTAGATGATGCCTTGAAATTCGTAGCACGACTACAGTACACATTAAAACTAAGCTTTATGTGATGGCGTTGCTCATTCTCCACAATAGCAGTGCATTATCATTTACATAATTATTCTCTAGTTAGAGATATATTGATTATTTTGTGGCACTGAAGTATTTTTATCTTCAAGAAAAAAGGCTTTTCCTCCTTTTGTCATTATCTAGCCACGCTTTTATTTCTCATGGGAATCGGAGACCCACTTGTCTCCCACCGTTTCAGTAGCTGGAACAACATGGCTTCTAACCAGCCCTGTTAAAAAACTCAGTGAGCAAGAGAGAGTTTAGTCCTCCGTCTGGCTCTTCTCACCGCTACTCCAAATAATCACAGGCCCAAAACAAAGCCAATGGCACTAATCTCCTTAATGCAATGCCGACTGGCTACTCCATGGTTATTTAGGAACTGGCAAACTTTCCAAACTGTACTCAAATTCCACATTCAACTGTGGATTTTACACACAAAGCTAAAAACCTTAGTCATTTTGGGCATGTACAGTGCTGACCAAAAATACTAGCACCCCTACATTTCTGTCAGATAATGCACCACTT